GTGTGTGTGTGTGTGTGTGTGTGTGTGTGTGTGTGTGTGTGTGTGTGTATATATACACACTGATGTATGTGTGTGTGCAAGGCAACTGCTTTTGCTGAGATGTGGTGTGCTTCTGGGAATCTGTTCTGATTGGCTGGTGCCCACATTGAATGGCATTTGAATCTATATACCCTTGTATATAGTTACATACAAACGATTTTTCCATGTGTGTTTTAGTTGCCAGGAAAGGTACAGTGTTGAGACATGCTTAGCAAATGTGACAAAAACACACAATTGTATTTAATTTTGATATTGTTATTGATATGCATTGTCTTAAACAGCCTATGTGATTTTGATATTCTGGAAAGATACTGCTCCTAACCATTTAGATCAGTTCTTTTCCAGTCCTGTTGGTGTCTACTAGGAAATACGTATGTAGGTTCTAATGAAAAGTTGATTAATCTTGATAATCCTGAACTTTCATTCTTGTTATCTGGATAGCCACAGATATTAAGCCACAGGCTTAATAGATTTCAAGATCTTTTGATTACCCTAAGCATACTAAATACTAAGTATTTAGTATCTTGGATTTATACATTATATGGTTGTATTTTGAAAATTGTACCACTTTTGAATATACATAAGCAAATTTTCCAAGATGTGTGGTCTTGAAGACTTCACTTGTTAGGTTACAGAAATAGTTTCTTTTTTATAATATGGTCATTTACTGTTTTAGCGGTTTTTTATCTTTACCAAATGCAACACTGGTGTGATCACAATTAAATTCTCAGTGACCACTCTCATGTCATTTTTGTTGATTTTTGAAGACCTTATATGATATTAATACTATATTTGATTTTTTTATAACTTGTTTTATTTTTTATTTTTTAAAATTTACATCCAAATTAGCGTATAGTGCAACAATGACTTCAGGAGTAGATTCCTTAGTGCCCCTTATTCATTTAGCCCATCCCCCCCCACCCCTCCAGTAATGCTGTTTGTTCTCCATATTTATGAGTCTCTTATGTTTTGTCCCCCTCCCTGTTTTTATATTATTTTTGTTTCCCTTCCCTTTATGTTCATCTGTTTTGTTTCTTAAAGTCCTCATATGAGTGAAGTCATATGACATTTGTCTTTCTCTGACTAATTTCTCTTAGCATCATACCCTCCAGTTCCATCCACATAATTGCAAATGGCAAGATTTCATTCTTTTTGATTGTCGAGTAATACTCCATTGTATATATATACCACATCTTCTTTATCCATTCATCCATCTATGGACATTTGGGCTTTTTCCATACTTTGGCTATTGTGGATAGTGCTGCTATAAATATGGGGATGCATGTGTCCCTTCAAAACAGCATACCTGTGTACTGTGCATAAATGCCTAGTAGTGCAATTGCTGGGTTGTAGGGTAGTTCTATTTTTAGTTTTTTGAGGAACTTCCATACTGTTTTCCAGAGTAGCTGCACCAGCTTGTATTCCCATATATTTGATTTCTTGAATTCAACCAGTTAATTTTGGAAGTTACACATTTTGCATCCTATCTTATTTGACACCTTGGTAAAATGTTTGCAAAGTTTAGTTGCTTTTTTAAAAAGATTAATGAAATTGGGGCATCTAGGGGGCTCAGTCGGTTAAGTATCCGACTCTTGATTTCGCCTCAGGTCATGATCTCAGAGTTTGTGAGTTCTGGCCCCATGCGCTGTCAGTGCAGAGCCTAGTTGGGATTCTCCCTCTCTCACCCCCTCTCTCTTGTGCTTTCTCTCTCTCTTTCTCTCAAAACAAATAAACTTTAAAAAAATTAAAGACTATATTAATGAAATTGTATAGAAGCAAATGGAAATGAATGATTTAAAATATTTCCATGCGTTTGTCCTGTGATTCACTGCCTGGCTCTACTATCTTAAAGACTGCACAAGGGCTGTTCTGAGCATTTATTTATGCCTGTGGCTCTTGAGATTTGATATGACATGAGACCGCCTATCAGTAATAGTCAAGTGACTTAGATTCTTAGGATACTGGCTTCCAGGATGACCCTCTTGTTTAGTGGGACAACTGGTAAGAGGTCTGTCTAGGCCATTGGTAGAACAGCCCTGCATGCCTTTGCCTCTGACCACACTGCTCTTGGAGCTTTCAGTGCTGTTTGGATGTCTAGTGGAATCCAACACAGCAACTTGTGGAAGTACCCAAGGACCTCTCTCTCTGGGACATGCCTGAGTTTATATTTATCCTTGAATCCCAGTGAGATAAACATTGGTGGCCTAAAAGAGCTAGTAAAAGAGAGCTGTAACTCATTTCCCTTTATGAAATGAGTTTTTCTACCAACTTACCTTCTCAGAAACAAAAAATACATTAAATTTTTTATGGATAGTGGTGGTGCATTAAGTTAAGAACTTGGGAATGCAAAACCGTCAGCAAAATTGGCACTTTCTTGAAGTTTTTACACCTCAGGGTCTGATGTGGGTGTTGTACCTCAAAAATTTCATTAGAAATTGGTTCCCCGGAATGATCTTTATAGATGATTCACACATTACCAGTGAATGTTTCATTTAAATTCAGCAGTAAGTTTCTCTTTAATAGAGAATATAATTACTATACCTTCTCATATAAAGCACTTGCTACTTTTCTTAATATTTTAACAAGACCAAGTTTAGTGGAATCCATAACTATAGAAACAAAGTGGCATCTCAGTTAAAAGATTCAGGCAAATAGTTTGAAATAGAGTAGATTTATTAATATCTATTTTATCTTTCTGTGTATAATCATATGTTGAACATGAAAAATAGTACCTCTTCTCCTCAACTCCATAAAAGCTATGTAACTGAATGAAGTGGCCATTAAATTGTTTTTATTTATAAAATAGTTTTAATACTTATGGAAAATCTGATACATTCTTTTAAAAAAATTCACAGAGTTTTAGTTTATAGAAATTATTTTAACTTATAATGAAAGCTGAGAGAGGCTCTTCTTATTTTTGGTCTTCTTTCCCCACTTTCCCCCACTCCTAATATAGGAAAAGTGCAAGGAATTTCAACTTGCCGATGTGCAAAGCGGCAGAAACCACAGTGGTGGAGGTAAGAGAAGAGGTGTTTTCTGCTTTCCAGAGGTTACTTTTTAAACTTGATGTTATGTATTAGCTCAGAAAATGTACAGCAGTTCATTTGTTTTCTGGAGGATAAACAATGACAAGTTTAAAATTTTGGATATCGAAGAATTCTATTTCAATGTATAGTAGTTGAAATTTTACTGTAACATCAACTTTCTGGTTAGCTAGGGTCTCACTAGAATGCTCTCTTTGAGATCAAGCTATGAGACTGACCAGCTTATAAAAGTCCTTTGGTACTTGAGTGAAATAGACCATGTTGGGTGAAATTGCAAGATGAATTTTTATATACAGAATCCCCAAAATATAGTAAGTTGTGTCAGAAGTTCATTATCTTAGATACTGTGAATTCTTTAAGGAAGAAAGAGGGGGTAGCACAAATAATTGTTTTGTTGTGGCTCTGTTTGGAACAGTTGAATTAGGGAACTGACTGACTCTTCTTTGGACATCTCAAGGTGTGGGAGACCGTTGCTAGCGTTAACGCTCTGTGACAGAAATAGGTACTTACACCCATTTTGTTGGGTATAATGACCCATTTTATTTACATGTATTTGAACCTGAGAGGAGACTTTGTAATGATTCTTAACTTGAGGCTTTGAGAATCGCCTTGGAACCAAATTTTCACAAAAGTTTGAGATAGTTTTTCCTTGGGAGAGCTTTATAGGAACCCATCGTGGGATCTGGAAATGAGAATATATGTTCTGGGTTTTTCTCATGATGGTAGTGTGTGTGGCACCTTTTGACTTCTGCATACATTTGGCCAAGATGGTATTTCATGGAATCAGTACAGTGGTATTTTTAAAAAATTAAATGTTAGAATTCAGTTCATCTCTTGGAAAGTGAAGCGTATTATTTTTATTTTTAAAGTTCTGGAGGATGTGGTACCTTCAACCCAGGCCTGGTGGTTTCTTTGCAATGACTTCAGTATATATTCTGCATTTAAAATGGACAATGTGGTTGACTCTGTGTAATCTGTTTTTTTATTTATGGAATCATCTTAATGATCTGTCTGTGACACAGATACATAATATTACTGAATAAAAGCCTATATATAACATAGCTTAAAATAATTGGTAGTTTAGCCCTCTCTTCATTTTATATATTTCTATAAAACTTCCTGCAACAGTGTTCCTTCTCTGAATACCAGGAGATATTATACATTGTCCTGGGTGAAGTTCTTTTTCTTTTTTTTTTCTTCCTTTATAATCTGATTCTTTTCAGCCAGTCTTCTTCTCAGAACAGAAAATGACCCTCTAGTGTCTGAGAATCACTGTAAATATTAGAAAAGAGAGGTTTTCTTTGGTTTTGTTCTGTTTTGTTTTTGGCATAAGGAAAAGGGAGATAAAATCCTTTAACTGATCCTGAAAATATGATAAACGCTAGCCTCCCTTGCCTGGGAACAGACGTCTCTGATCTATCACTGCACACATTTCTGCTAGACTCAGACTCACATTGGGATACTTTTCAATAATGGTGCTGTAGACAGCCACTCCCAATTGACTCTACCTGCAATGACCAACATGGTGGCCACTAGCCATATGTGACATTTAAAATTTAAATTAATTAAGATTAAACAAGATAAAAATTCATTTTCTCTTTGGTAGCTGCATATAACTAGCAACTACTGTTTTGATCAACATAGATATCTGTGAAAGGTTTTATTGCACAGGGTTATTTATAATGATCAAGATGAAATCTAATTTGTCCTTCTATTTTAGGAATCTAAGCAAAACAGCTTTTATTTATTTTTTTTTAATATGAAATTTATTGTCAAATTGGTTTCCATACAACACCCAGGGCTCATCCCAACAGGTGCCCTCCTCAATACCCATCACCCACCCTCCCCTCCCTCCCACCCCCCATAAACCCTCAGTTTGTTCCCAGTTTTTAGGAGTCTCTTATGTTTTGGCTCCCTCCCTCTCTAACCATTTTTTTCTCCTTCCCCTCCCCCATGGTCTTCTGTTAAGTTTCTCAGGATCCACATAGGAGTGAAAACATATGGAATCTGTCCTTCTCTGTATGACTTATTTCACTTAGCATAACACTCTCCAGTTCCATCCGTGTTGCTACAAAAGGCCATATTTTGTTCTTTCTCATTAAGCAAAACAGCTTGTAGATAATGGATTATTATAAGCCTATCTCCTTGGCATGCTCAATAGTAGAAGTCCACATGCTCATAAGTTGAATTGGAAGAACTGTGTTCTCGAAAGAGGAAAATAATTTGGACTTGGGGATGGTGAGTAGATTGGGTATTTTCTGATATGAAAAGTCCATTTTGATTTTGTGATTTTTGTATTGTTCTGAGTCTAGTGAGTACTCTGGCCTCCAGCTCCAACTCCTCAGAGTTCTGTGTACTCTGTTCACTTGCACTGACCTCCAGGATTCTGTAATTCTTCTCTAGTCCTGTCCTACTTTATTTTATGGTGATCATAGTGGGATGGGTGATTACAAGCTGGCCACTGAAGTGCTGTATTTAACAGGAATCCTCAGAGATCATAAATTACCCATATTTTCTCTTGCCTGCTAGTTATTAACAACAATAATAGCTACTGTTAATCAAATATTTATTATGCTGTACTCTTTACGTTATTATTTTTGTAATCCTCAAGATAGTCCTATAAGGTAGGAACCATTTTTATCCTTATTTTACAGATGAGGACTTTATTTTTTTCAACGTTTATTTATTTTTGGGACAGAGAGAGACAGAGCATGAACGGGCGAGGGGCAGAGAGAGAGGGAGACACAGAATCGGAAACAGGCTCCAGGCTCTGAGCCATCAGCCCAGAGCCCGACGCGGGGCTCGAACTCACGGACCGTGAGATCGTGACCTGGTTCAAGTCGGACGCTTAACCGACTGCGCCACCCAGGCGCCCCTGGATGAGGACTTTAAAGCACAGACAGGTTAAGTGTGCGACCTGATGTCACACAGCTAGGTGGAACTAGAACAGAGCAATAGAGGTATTGATTCCAGGGTGTCTGCTCTTTTCCATTATTTTATGAAATACTCTCAAACTGTCATAAATGGATGGTTTTTCAAACTTGTGAAAGATGCTGAATCTCTGGAAATAGACCATTTCAATGTTAACTCTTAGAATCGAGCAGAGTATTTTGGCTAATTTCTTCCTCTATTCTGTTCTTCCTTGCCAGTTATTCTGATCGTGGTCCTTTTTTCCTCCACTACCATATACCTTGGAGCTGGCTTTAGAAAAGCCTCACCCTGTGGTCAGTAGCTGTATGGGGTCCATTCAGTCTTCTCTTAGACTCAGTTCATTCTATTTTGTAGCCTCTTTGAACCTTGCAACTTTTCACAGATTTCCCTAAATATGGTGATTGAATGTCTGTTCTGGTACTTGCAGACAGTCAGAAGCTATTTCTTAGAGCTCTCAGCTCGTGTCCTGTCTCTTATGGAGGAGGAAATCGAGGACTCTTCAGCAGCAGCTTCGGCATCTGGGTTAGAGCCTCTCTTCCGAAGCCCCGTGTCGCTCCACATGGCTGCATCTCTGCAGCCTTTATCCCTGTTTCCATCCTGTAACTTGAGTTTTAAGGAGGGCAGAACTATAACTGTCTATAATATTAATGATGGTTCCCTTAGACCGCTCAAAATTGTTTTTTGGACTTAGAAGCAGGGTGGTCTTCTTGCTTTTTGTTTGTTTGTTTCTTCTTTCATTAATTTACAGTAAATATTTTATGTGAAGAAGCAAACCAGTGTGTTTATCTCGAATTAAAGAGAGTATCAAATTTGCCCTCAATATGAATTCTTTCTACTTTCTCTAAAAGGGGAATAGTCCTCTTTTTCAGAAAAGTTTCCCCTTTCACATGTGTTCTGCACAAGCTTGTGAGTTATATAAAGCCAATGAGGTGACCAAGTAGGTCATTTTCCCCTTTACTACAATCCATATGAATATTGCATTCATATTTCTTAAAACCTGTAACCACTTGCATACTTCACCACCAAGTTGTGATATAGTGAATGCTGGCTGTGTCCCTCCCCCTCACCCCCGTAAGGAACTGGGTAGCTACTGGGAAAAATAGTGCACGTGGGTGCACATATTGGCACACATGCCAGAAAGATGTTTCTCTTTTGGGCCCAGACAGTGTTATTTCTGGACCTCCTTCTCTTTGAGTGGGTGAAGTCGTCTTCCCTGATAAACTTCACACGTTTAAGTGCAAAACCAGCCAGGGAATGACTCTTGGTGTTACATTCTGCGTGTGTAATAGGAGAAGTAAGGACTGTCGCGTCTTCCTGAGGGAACTCATTTGGCTTTTGGAAGGGTCTCGCCATCCCCTCAATTCCCTGTGATCCCTCTGCCAGTCTCCCCGGTGCTTAGCCCACCACCCCCCGTTTTTTCTTGGAAGTGACCTGTCTCCGCATTTTTTTTCAAAAGCAGCTTATAATAGAAAACTCAGGGGGAGCGTTTGGAGTGCTTCACTCAGGAGACTGGTAAGCTTTTGTCTCCTGCGAGCAGCCTGGCGTGCCTGCTCTGTCAGAAAAGGTCGTCTGACTCAGCCACCGAAGGCTCTTCAAGCTGCCTGAGACCAAAATAGCCCAGCTGGTTTCGTCAGGGTTGTGCCATGGCTGGTGTTAGGTTTATACAGGGCCTCTTCTATTTTAGCTCATTTCAGCTTTTAGTGAAAATAGTATATTTATTATCACGACTTGAATAAAATTATTTTTTTTTGTTCACATCATGGCGTATTTCTATATTTGCTTATGAAAGAATTGCTTATATTCTAGAATACTTGATGTGTACGAATATTGTAGATGTGTAGCCTGTGTGGGTTATGAAGTATAATAATAAATTGAATACCTGTGAACCCACCCAAGGTAAGAATTAGCGGATTGCTCATATTCCTTTTCGTCTGCCTGCATCCACTGCGGCCATAACCGTTGTCAGGGATATTGTGTTTATCAGTTCCTTGCTTTTAAAAAAAATGTTCTAAGTCGTAAGGTATGGACATATTGAAACTTAT